AAAATAGAACACTTGATGGCCACAGCATTTTTAAGCTTAAGTTATACTTTTTTAACTAACATTAATTCTCTTACTAAGATTTAATTGTACTTACATGTTTTGGAATGACTGTTGACAATATTCTATCGATAAGTAGTCTACCGGGAAAACGGTATTTGAACGTTAGGCCATCTTTAGTGAATTTCTTTCAATGAATAAAATATTCTTTCAATTATAAGTAAGTAACCGGAAGTTGGACTTCTCAGATGATCTGGCCCTTCTATTCCATACACACGAATATATGCAGATGGAGACGACTGATGTAGCACCGGCCTCTGCATCAGTAGGCATCAACATACATAAAGGTAAAAGCAAGATCTTCAAATACAACATGGTGATCACCAACACAATCACACTTAATGGAGAAGCTCTGGATGATGTGGAATCCTTCTTGTACCTGTACAGCATCATCCATGAACAAGGAGGTTCTGACGAAATGTGAAAGAATGCAAAGATTGGCAAAGCAATGGACACATTCCTGCAGTTATAGAATATATGTAACTCAAAACAACTGTTAACTAACATCAAAGTCATAATCTTCAATACGAATGTCGAGACAGTTTCACTTTACGAATCTGAAACTTGGAAAACCACCACAACCATCATCAAAAGTATAAAAATATTTATAAACAGTTGTCTACTCAAGATATTCAACATTCATTGGCCCGATACCATCAGCAATAGCCTGCTGTGAAAGAGAACAAACCAGCTCCCAGCTGAAGAGGAAATTCGGAAAACACCTTGGAAGTGGATAGGACATAAATTACGAAAATCATCAAACTGCATCACGAGACAAGCTTGAAGTTGTAATCCTGAAGGGAAACAGGAAAGAGGAAGGCCGAATAAAACATTACGTCAGGAATTGGAAGCAGACATGAAAAGGATGAATAGCAACTAAAAAAAACTGAAAAGGATTGCTCAGTACAGTGTTGGATTAAAAGTGCTGGTGAACGGCCTATTAGTGGTAACAGATGTAAGTAGGTAAGTAAGTAAGTTAATAAATAACCGGAAGTTGTTGATGTTAAAGTTTGTTTACTACTACATTCAAATCTTTATTAATTTACACCTTCAAATATGCATGTAAATGTAGAACGATAGAAAGGTCAACCTTTGAACATTTAATAATTTCACTAATCGTATAATTCATAAATAGGTCAAATACAAAACTTAGTAAAATGGATTAAAAAGAGAGAAAAATGAAGAAGAAGAAGAAGAAGAAGAAGAAGAAGAAGAGGAAGAATGATTAATGATAATCATAACCATAAATAATCCGAAATAGTTTAGTTTAATATAAAAATATTTCAATAGTGTTTCACAATGTTAACCTTTTCAACAAAATAACAATAATCTCAGTATATTACTTACTATTTTTATTTTATTCGTTTGTATCAATGGACATTTCATTCTATGAATGAAGAAATTATTGTTTATTTTTCGAAACAAATTCTTTTATTTGTGTTATTTGATTGATTAAATATTGATAGGATATCGATTTATTTTCATTGACTTATTACTTATTTTGATAATTGGAAATAGTTAGTTGCATTCATAACTTATGAATATCAATATAGGGGTTGTGGAGATTATTAAATTTTTGATTGAGATCATGAACTGATTGATGTTAGACCACCATTGAAAACGGCCGTCCAGTGCTTTCAGGTTTTAGTGTTGGTCAAACACCAATTAGTTCAAGATCTCAATCAAAAACTTATGAATATTTGTATTCTCAGAAGAGAGGGGTTTTATGGAGATTATAATAATTTTAGTAGTTGAATTTATAAGGTGAGCAAAGATAGATCATTATGAAAAATCTGGAAGAACTGAATGGTTGTTGTGTCTCAGTATGGGACTCTTCAATAGTGTATATCTATGATCTCGCCTCGAGGGATTTGAAACCAGGACTTTCGATATCACGTATCAGAACTTCTTATAAAATTCATATTTCAGTATTCATTATTAAACTGTTTTTTACTTTTTTTTCATTAAAAATTTAAGTAACTATTCAAATTATTCAATTAATGTATTCGTTGATATCAAAATGTAACCGGTTGTTCTATTGTAAATCAATTTTCTTAATGACCCATGTAAATAAGTGTACAAAATACTTACTTAATCACTTACTTACGCCTGTTACTCCTTGTGTAGGAGTAAAGGTCGCTCATCAGCATTCTCCATCCAACGCTGTCCTGGGCAAATGTTTCTAGCTCCTTCCAGTTGTTATTCATCCTTCTCATATCTGCTTCTATTTTCCGACGTAATGTGTTCTTTGGCCTTCCTCTTTTCCGCTTCCCTTCAGGATTCCAAGTTAGGTCTTGCCCCGTGATGCAGTTTGATGATTTGCGCAATGTATGTCCTATCCATTTCCATCGTCTTTTTCTAATTTCTTCTTCAATCGGAAGCTGATTTGTTCTCTCCCACAAAACGCTGTTGCTGACGGCATCCGTCCAATGAATGTTGAATATCTTGCGTAGACAACTATTTATAAATACTTGTACATGTTTGATGATATTTGTAGTAGTTCTCCAAGTTTCAGCTCCATACAGTAGAACTGCGTTGACGTTCGTATTGAGGATTGTGACTTTGATATTGATTGAAAGTTGTTTTGAGTTCCATATGTTCTTCAATTGTAGGAATGCGGCCGTTGCTTTGCCAAAAATGTGTAATTATAATTTAGAAGAGTAGGTTAATTAATTTACCGAGGTAAATTTGTAACTGTGAAGAGAAGTGTTGATAAATGCTTACTCTAGAATAACATATATAAGCGAACAATATTGTTTTCGATTAGATCCTCATCAGAATGTACTCTAATATACAGTAATATTTATATGCATATATGAAATTATTAAACCAATCAAGGTAATTTATGATCATACTTGTAAAATATTCATGATCTGTTGTTTTGAAGATTGATGGAAAAATTATTTTTACATAGAAGAGTTTAAATAGCTGATTGATAAGTGATGAAATTATACTATTACTGTGTGTATTAAAACATTTAACTGTGAAGTTTTCAATATATTATCTAGTTATAATTCAATTGACTGTTCAACACTGTTAACTAGTAGCATAGTTTGTTTACTTGATATATGAAAACAACTACTCAGTGAATCGATAAAAATCAATCTAAACGTATTTCAATAACGTCTACCGCCTATGGAATAAGGAAAATCGTTTATTGTGTACATCTTATAAGGTTTATACATAACCAATATGGCTTCATATCAGTATTATATTATTATTATTATTAGCTTTATTCAATATTCAATTTTTGGTACAATATAGAATTCTTAGCACAAAGTATTTCAATAAGTTTTCTTTTTCTTATTTCTTGATCGACCCTGACGATAAACATTGAGTGATCGTCAGTTAGATGTTAATAGTTCAGGCATCGATATCTGAATAATCTCCATTCTTTTCAATGCATATTGCCAGACGTCATGATGTCTCCGATTGTACATTTTTTTGTAATTTGTACAACGAAAGATCGTAAACTTTTCACAAACTCACCTGAATAAGTTATACAAATAATTGACGTAATTATTTGTTAAAACAAACAGGGAAACAGAGTACGTGTTGAAATGTCTAGAGTACAGGAATAGGTAGCCCAGATTTTCAAGCAGGTCATCATTGATATTACAAGTTGTGATCAAACAACTGTTGGCTAATCACCTTATGAATTTGTGTATGTGTGTTATGAATTTGATTAAGATGATTATAATAAAGTGTTGAGTCGAGAACTACAACCCGTGATATTCTGTACATTTCGATTGTTACCAAATAAACGCCTCTCCAGCTTTTCTTCTGATTTCTGACGGTTCAACGTTCAGGTGTCGTAGTCGTAAACTGCATTTTGCCTTAATCAGGTAGCGAACTTAACACAAGGTTCAAGTTTTAATTACAACTATGTTTTTTATCTTGATCATTAAGATACATTATTCTCATTTTACTATGTTACATAAGACAAATGTAAAACTTATACAGAGATCATTTTCCTTATAGTATATTAACTATATTGATTAAGACTTATCAGATAGGTTCAAAATATAAGTGTCTGCTTCTTTGAAGTTACTTAATTTATTCACTGTAGAAATATTTTACTAACATTTTCAATTATCATATTTATCTATTAATCTTCCTTAATTATTAATTTACTTCTTAATCTCCATGGTTACATCATAATTAAATGGACCAAAATTCATAATTCAAATTATTAATTACACAAAATTTTATGTCTTTTTTGATAATCTGAGTTACAAATGATTAGTTTCAATTATTTGACTAATGATCATTTCCATATTACTGACTAGCGTTTTTAAGGCGAGTTAGTTTTCTACGGGATGGGGTCGCTAAACCCATGCCCAACCCTCTTTCTTTATCTGGGCTTGGGACCGGTAGTAGCCCCCGGAGGGTCTCCAGACGGAGTTATTATTTCAATATGCGATTACATAATATTTAACTACAGAACATATGATGTTTATTTATCATTGGTCAGAATTTAAAAAGCAAAACAAGATGAAAAGAAAAATCTTATTCAACTATTATTGATACGAAATTGAAATAGCTGATAAGAAATAACATATATCTCTATGGTCAACCTTCTCATGACAATATATAGACGTATAAGATAGCAGATGTCGGATTTGAGCGCTAAATTCAATTATCTATTTAGATAAATAGAGTTTTAGCATTATAGCTGATGTCAATTCGTGATGAAAACCTTAAATCTAATTCTTAACCTTAATCATCAATTGTAAATTATAATTATAATTTCACACACACACACACATGTTGATAACCCACATTTAATCCTAATTATTAGGTGGATACTTTCAAGGTCAGTCTAAGAGTCACTCAAAGATCGTCCATACATTATGGTCTCACCGATATGTGAATCTCACAAATTAGACAAGTTTACATTAAAACATGTATCTATTTATTACTTTTTTTTCATAACTCTAATCCTTGATTTATTTTACAGAAGGAAAAGTATATATATCTATATAACTGTCAAGATGCGGATACATTCAATTTCAACATTTGCATTGATTATCATTTGTGTATTCATCACTAATAGTCTATTGGTAAATGGACAAATGGCTGAATATTATATGAATGATGAAATACCACAAGTGAATACATATGAAAATATGTATCCAAGATATATTCAACGTCATAGATCACAACATTATAAACGAGGTGGAATGTATGGTGGATTATTAGGGAAATAATCAATCAATAATTCATCATTGATCATTAATTAATTATATTTATTTATTTCATCATTTCAAATAAAGGAAAGAAAATTTGTAACCTTTAAATAAATTTTAAAGAAAAAAAATGTATTCTCTATGGTATTTCATAGTATTGTAGTGAAGCAGAACATGGGTAGAGACAATCGAATCATCACAATTGATTGATCACTGGGTGGCGATCAATGTCATGCGTATCTAGTCCTTAATAGTGCAGGTCGAATGCTATCGATCATGTTGCAATGTGGCCGCCGCGGGCACTATATATTGAGATTAGATGGTGGTTGGAGGTAGTCAACAGGAAACCCTGGACCCGGGTTTCGTGCTACTTGGCACTCGTCAGCAAGGTGTACCTGTAATCTTGAGGGAACTGGTGCTCCCTGGCGGATTCGATCTTGTGTTACCCAGCTTCACCGCCCAGTGATCAATCAATTGTGATTACATCTCAGTCTTACAGGAGGTCGGTCGCGGCCCGGATAGCTCAGTGGTACCATCTCTGACTGTGAAGCTGGGTGACACGGGATCGAGTCCGCCAGGGAGCACCAGTTCCCTCAAGATTACAGGTAGACCTTGCTGACAAGTGCCAAAAAGCACGAAACCCGGACCCAGGGTTTCCTGTTGACTACCTCCAACCACCATCTAACAATCGAATTATATTTAGCACAAAATTACAGTTACTTGGTAAAATAGAAAAACCATACTATAATACTTAATTTGCAAAAATGTTCAATAACTGTCTCGAACTTCGTCGTTCTTGCATTTCCATACTAATTGCTTTCTATTCCCACTCTTCTTTTCTTGATCTTCCCCATCTTCTGCTGCCAGACATTACATTCCTGACTCGCGTCATATACTACACTTTTATCAATATAAGTAGCACGCACCACAGTATTTCCAAACTTGTTACTACATTTCAATATGTCTCTAAAGATGTATAGTTTCGATCATCAATAGAAAAATTGTTTATTATAATGCAATATAGTTTAATATCAAGTATCAAAGGATATTATTCTAGTAACAAGTTAAATGATTGTTCAGGAAGAGTTTAACTACAGATGTTATTCAATAGGTCATTGTCATGAAGCCATTTTTAAAATAAGGTTAACAAATATTACACTAATATAATGATTGTTAAACAATTAAACTGACAAAGATGGATAACGACTAGCAGTGAAATCTAGGGAATGCGTTTCGTCCTATTTCGTACTCGTCAACTGAATGTACCTACATTTCAGAGTTAATGTTCACTCTGAGGATCGAAGGCTGTACTTTCTGCTATAAATGCCGTTGCTTTATCCACTTGGCTACTGAGTCGTGATAACTACTTGTTTCTGCATTAGGGTGAAGTTTAAATCCACTTGATATTGTTTACCTACATGTTCACGTTGATGATTAGGACCACAATCGATCAGTTTGTTATTCACATATGTTCATACTGTGCATATTACATCGATAGTACTTTAATTCACAAGCATTATAAGCGTCCTGGATTCAACTGTTAGCCATTACCCATCATTGTTTACAAAGCTTTTGACTTAAGGCAATATCGAGGCGATTTGCACAGGATGCACATATGCCAACATGAGGCTGATCAATTGCAGTCCTAAACACCAATAGGAAAATACGAGCAAACAACATCAAGTGAATTTAATGTTATTTCTGGGGGTTTTTATCAGAAAGAAGCATGGAATTTCGTTTATTATGCGATATGTAAAAATAAGTTTAAAGAAAAAAAAACAGTATTCAATCTATAATGCTAAACGCCAATACAACACTTTGCTTTAAATCAATTTGAAGGATTAAACACTTCAGTTGGCATGAAAAGTTGATTTAAGATGAATCCGTTCTGACCTCTCCTGAAGGAAAGCAGAAAAGAGAATGGCCAAAGAACACATTAAGTCGGTAATCGGAAGCAGACATGAAAAGAATGAATAACGACTGGAAGGAGCTAGAAAGTATTGCCCAGGACGGGGTTAGATGGAGAACGCTGGTGAACGGCCTATGCTCCTTCACGAGGAGTAACAGGCGTAAGTAAGAAGTAAGTTCATTTTATCAACAAATACGAACGATTCGAATATGGCCAATAGATATGATGATCAAATAATATTTTATTATTCAGATTAAACCTGTACATAATAAAAAAGTTTTTTCACAAGCACAGGCGAAATTCAGTGTTACTACTAAATAGAAAACCAAACAAAATAATAGGTGAAAGGGTATGTATGTATGAAACCATTATGCACCTAATTCAAATATCTATTTCAATTATGAAAAAGTAAACCTTATCAAAAAATTGTTAGTAACTATATAGTGATTAGAAAACACTATGCTGTAATTCATTTATAAAACATGATTAATAACTAACGAAACACACGTCTTAGAGTTCCGGAGTGAACATCAACTATGAGATGCAAGCACGTGCAGTTGACGAGTCCCGAATAGAATGAAACCCATGTCCTGGATATCAATGCTAGTCACTATACACTTTTCATTATGATTATTAACCGCTAGTATTTCTGAGTGATTTCAAATTCTTCAATTTAGGCTAAGAGTTTTAGGGTTATATTCATATTCAGTTTGTTTTTCCTTTTTGTTCTTGAAAACTGAATACAATGAAAATGGGATACTGAAATTATTTGATAGGTTTATATTCCCAAATACTGATAAACTTGACATAGGTGGTGTGTGTGTGATGTAAATTATCAATATTCTTCTTTACACTAAAGGTTAGACTAAACGAGAATTTAGCAGAATATAATGATTATTTGAGTGGATAACATAAAAAAGTGAAATATTAGGTTGTTTCATCTTAGTTTTACGACTAAAACAGGTCAATATCAGTGACTGAAAGATAAGAACATTCACAAGTGAAATTTTTATATATTGCATAAGGTAGTAGCTATTCGGATCCATTTTAACAGTGGGTATCTCGTTGAACATGTTAAGCTAAATAGTCGGAGTTCAAATCTCAATGTGATCAAAAACACTGATGTAAGTACATTCAACTGAAGATTTCATCGTAGAACAAAACAAACCTTCTAAAATTAATTGTCAACTACTAGCCAACGTCACTGATTCAGCCATTGATTAAATGGTTTTAAAACAATAAGCTTTCAGTAGCTGATTTCCAACAGACTGAACTTATGTTTCTTGACGTCATTAATCAAACATATGATTTATGTCATATAGAGAGAGACATTTTGGAGTACTCATTGAGTTGAAAAGGTAAAAAAACAGTATGACTGGATGGGATTGATTTAAAATTCGAGTTACATTAACCGGCGAAATTCTGTCTTCCACATAACTGATTTTATGCTAGACAGTTAGTTGCAGTTACCTTTTTAAGTATATTCCTAACCGACTTTTCGTTGTCAAAGTTTTAATCTTTGTAGAAAAATTGCAACTTATCAATCGATGTAAGGAGACGTTACTTACATATAACTATTCCTATAACTCTAAATATCATCACAATTGGCTCAACAATGAAGTGTAAAATGTTGTGTTATTGGTAAAAGTAAACAAAATACCTAGAATACACAATCAACAATCTTTCCAAATACTGGATTTATTCAGTGTCAAATACATAACTGGACTGAAGAATCCTTTTCACGAAATATACAATGTTGAGACGAAATCCTCGTTTAGTAAATATTTAGGCTAAGAATATTAGAGAACTGCATGACAAAAGTTTTTAAGTAGTAATGAATTGTAATTCATATTTATCTGTATATATTCACCACTGGTCATTTTTCCATCACCTCTTGTATTGACAAATATATATACACTGTAAATTTTGATGAATGTCAGTGAAAGGAATTGAACAGACATCCGTATAAGTAATTCGAAGAAATTAAGTTACATATTCACAATCTCATTATTCATTCTAACTGTTTTTCACTGCTGACCTGTTAAAAAGAATAAAAATTTTCACATGTAGATTAAAGTCATTCAAAAGGAAACTGTCATTTCAATAAAAACAGTTTTTGTCAAAGAAACTCAAATTAACTCAAATTCATGATTATGTTAATTGGATTGTAATTCATTGTGCAAATGCTGAATGATTGTTAAATACAAATGTTAATAATGAACAATCGTGGATTAGTTGAAGCTAGACATTAACACCGTTGGATGCCGGCCACCTCAGTGGTCTAGTGGTTAAGTGCTCGCGCGTAGATCATAGGTTCGAATCTCGCGGGGGGGGGTGAGGTCGTGGATGCGCTTTGCTGAGAAGTCCCACAATAGGACGAAACGGCCTTCCAGTGCTTCCAGGTTTTCCATGCTGGTCTAGCTTCAATCGACTCATGATCTTAACCATTTAAAATCTTAGAAAACTTTGAAATCATGATAATAGTAACATTAATAGATTATTAGTGGCCTTATTCAATATTTTATTTTGGTACAATATATAATTCATAGCACAATGTATTTCAACAAGTCTTACTTCGTAGTCGGTCCTAATGATAAATATTGACTGATCGCCAGTTAGATAGTAACAGTTCAGTAAATTGACATCGAAATAATGGACATTCTTTTCGCTGAATATTTCCACCAACCATAATATCTCTGATTTGGCCTTAAGTAACTTGTACAACGAAAGGTTGTACACTTTTCAGAAATGCACCCGAATAGGTTATGCAATTAATAGCCATAATGATTTATTAAAACAAACAAAATTAGATAACATTTATTGAAATATCTAAATGGCAGAAACAGATAGCCCATATGTTCATGTAGGCCACTAAGTTGCTCAACATGGAACATTTAATTTTGAATTACAGATATTCCATTCAGATAAAATACATTTTTGGCGTTTATTATATTTATGACAACACAAATAATAATAAATTATACTATTATAAAGGCCGATAGGTCCCGGGTTCGAATCTCATGAGGTAGGATCATGAGAATGAGCACTGCTCAGGAGTCCCATACTAGGATGAAATGGCCGTCCGGTACTTCTAGGTTTTTCATGATAGTCTAGCTTCAATTAATTTATGAATTCAATTATTGAAATGACTATAATATCCACAAAACCCCTCTCTGATGATCAAGGTATTTCTATTCAGTGAAAATGTGATAC